CCACTTGCACTCTCTCTCTCTCAGAAAAAAAAGTCTTATAATTTTATCATACAGTATAGTAGAAAACAATTTGTAATTTGAAATCAGAAGACATGGGGTCAAGTATTGTTTGTACCAATCACTAACTATATAATCATGAACAAGTCTCAACATTTCTGTACTCCAGCCTGCTTATTTTCAGCACGGAGTTAATGATAATTTCTACTTCACAGAGTTGTTCACTGGAATAAGTAAGAATGTATGTAAGATGTAATAAGGAAAATTGTGATATTAATAATGATTAAAATAATCTTACATTAGTTGGGCACGTAGTAAGTGTCAGACACTGTGCTAAGAGCTTCACGCTCTTAATATATCTCATGAGGCTGTTTGGTTAAAGGTAATGTCCAGGCATTCATTCACTTATTCACTTCATATATATCCATGAGACATCTTCCTGTCATGTCTAGTGAATCCTACATTGTCACACATCCTACATTGAAAGAGTTTATTATGCTCATCATGGTGAACATTTTGTAATCAATATAAATGTTGAATCACTGTGTTGTATACCTGAACCTAATATTATATGTCAACTATACATCAGTTTGAAAAAGAGGATCTGCCATTTATTTAGTGGGGAATGTGTGTGTGTGCGTGTGTGTGTGTGTGTGTGTGTGTGTGCGTGTGTGTGTGTTTGGAGGTAAGCGTGCTCAGATAAACTCTTACCAAGATGATAATGTCTAATAACACTGAATTCTAAAATAATGTTCTTCCAATGGTTAATCAGTCGACTCGTTTTTAAATCTGTTTGGTTGGGGGTGCCTGGGTGGCTCAGTCACTTGAGCGAATGACTTCAGCTCAGGTCATGGTCTTGCAGTTTGTCGGGCTCTGTGCTGACAGCTCAGAGCCTGGAGCCTGCTTCAGATTCTGCATCTCCCTCTCTGACTCTCTCTCTCTCTCTCTCTCTCTCCCTGTCAAAAATAAATAAACATTAAAAGACATTTTAAATCTGTTTGGCAGGTTGAGACCAGTATTTTGTCTTAAATTATCACCGACCCTACTTATTTGTATCACAAGACTCTGAGAATCCAGATGCATTACTCGAGTGGCAGTGAGATCCCAACAGCTCTCAGCATGTCTGGTATCTTGATCTGGCAAATAAACTAAAGCCTGCTTGCGTAACTTTGAGGAGACTCCTGGGAGAACTCCTCGAAGAAGTCAGGCTTGAGGAACTTGACCCAGTGATAGTGAATTCAGTGTGGCAGGTGCCACTTGAGTCTGTCTGGCTCTGCCCTGGATGTATGTCCTAGGGAGCCAGAGGGGAGGCTGAAAATGAAAACTAAAAGAACTATTTAATTAAGCCCTGAGGAACATGTAACATTAGGCAGCACTGCTTTAGAACTCCACAAACAACTACTTGCTCACAGACCAACATATAGGCCCAGTGAGGGCTGCCATGGGAGAGATGGGGGAAATGGGAAACCACCCACAGTGTCTCTGAGACACGGCTGGGTCCTGGAGAGGAGAAGTGGTGACTAGAGCAGGGGACATATTCATAAGCCCATGTGAGCCACATGAGACCCTCCTGCCTTCCTCAGCAGGAGGGTGCAAGAGCCAAGGAAGTTAGAATTACTGATATTAAGGTGATTTCATTACTCCCCATGGGCTACTGAGACCAGAAAAGAAGTGTCAATTCCGTACAACAGGGAAATAGGAGGAGAGTGAGAGAGAATATTAAATAAAGATAAGAGCAGAAAATGAAGGGAAAAACAAAATTGGACAGATCTGGCTATATGCTTGAAGAGGTCCAAAGCAATCTCTCTATCTAATGTCAATGGGCTCCAAAGCAAGTTTTTACCTTTAGCGAGATAAATGAGGAATATGCCCAATGTCTATAACATCCTGATGAGATCACCGTGTCGATTAAACTAGGGAATTGCATTTTCTAAATGCAAATACATCCTATCCTGAGTATATCTCACATGGTAGAGATGAGAGAAAACAAATAGGATGCCAGGTTAGAGGCTTTAAGCACATCAGTATGCAAACCACTTTTTAAGCCTGTTTCCATTTACTCTCCACTTCTGGACCGATTTTACAGAGCAGGTAACCTGTAACTCAAAACAATCTCTCCATGACCCTATTTCATTCAGCATCAAGATTCTAATCAATATCCTATTTCCTTTAATAGTCATAGGCATAAGCTCTAAAAATAACTTCATCAGCTCTATATTTGTGTCATTTGGAATTTTGAATTTATAAGGGCGTGTATGCCCAGCCCAGGGAAATTACTGAAAATGGTCTTAAATCTCCAATAATGGCCTAAATTTGAAGCCCTGGGATATTTCTGTCCTTCCAAAAAAAAAAAAAAAAACCCACTTTGTGCTCACTCAGGATTCGTTCAGATGATTTATAAGAAATTGCATACCCATCTCACTTTGCAAAACAGGAAATCACTTTCAAAGGAGAGCAGAATAAAACACCTTATCCATCTCATTCTCAGGGAAATTACCAACTCAAAATATTCTTCTGCTTTTGATGTTCTTTCTTTCTTTCCTCTAAAGGAATCTCAGGCTAATGTATATTTATGTTTTAAGTGGAACTACTGTGCTTGTCTAAGAAAGAAGAGGAGAAAGGGGATGTCTGAGAAACTGCAGTAAGCAAAAATAAAGGACAGTTAATAAATAAAACTAGGAAATTTCCTCAGAAAAAAAGAGAAATTCAGGTTTATTTTATTATAAGATCGATAGATGCATATTACTTGAAAACCTTGTATCTGTTTGTGCACAGGGATCTCTCCTCCAGGACTTATCCTTGGGAATTTTCTCAGCTCTGTTGAGCTTGGTAGATCATGAGGAGTTTCCTTAAACATTTCAAGACTCAGTGGAATTTGTCACGTTTCCCAGACACAGAGAGTGATAAACAGCTTTCTTTAAAGTTTTTTATATTTTATGTCCTAATAGGTATTAGAAAAGTAGTATTTCTCAGCTCTAATATCAATACAGGTCTTGGGGTAGGGGAGAGGCATAGGGTGGGTATTATGATGATGTAAGGCTAGGCATTAATTCAGTCAAAAATGTCAAGAAACAGTTAACCCATCATACTCTTCTCAAATAGGTATAACTGCACTTTGACAGAATGTACACTGAAGATTTTGGAAATTTAAAAACATATAAGCTTCTATGCCTTATAAGATCTGTATGCAATCATCTACTCAGATGTATTATTCACAGATCACTAGTCACTTCTTTGAGAATTCCAATCCAGCTTAAATTACTTCAACATCTTTAAAGTTCAAACTTAGAGCATCAACATTGTGTATTCAAGGATATTGTAGGGGGAAAATAATTACCCTTTTGGTGCATATTTAGTAGTTGTCTAATTTGAATTATAGTCTATACGTTGAAAAGGTAAGAAATGGATTCACCAATAAAGGGCTTAAATTTAATAAAGAAAATAAAATTCACATATGTGAAAATATTAGTGGACAAATAGTACTATGTATCATTATACTTAATGTAATTAAAATATTATATAATAAATATAATATAATTAATATAATATAATATAATATAATATATAATAATATAGTGCAATTTTTTTTTGCTGCAGCAATAAACAGAAAAGTGGCTGGGACTTACCAATGTAAGCTGTCGTGGATCAATGTCTATATGTATCTGGAGGAATGCCTACATATACACATACACTGTAAGTGTGTTTTCCAAACTTCTATGATGATAAAAATCACCTGGAGAATTGATTTTTTTAACAGGCTTTCTCCAGACCTACCAAAATAAACTCTTAGAGAAGGAGCTCAAGAATCTGTATTTTTCACAAATGACTCAGTCAATTCAGATCAGGCAGGTTTAGAAAACATTGTGGTCCTCAAAACAATCCCATGAGAATATTATTATCCTTCTTTTATAGTTGAGAAAACTGAGGTTAGAGAGATTAATTAACTATTCAAAGGACTCCCAAGTTAGGATAAAGCAATCTGACTTCCAAAATTTCTTTTTTACTGTGCTAAGCTTTCTTTGTTCTCTGAGAAAATGATCAGGTTGGATGTGGAAACATAGAAAAATAGAAAAATTCATTTCTATTCCTCCTTTAAAACGTTACCTTCTGTTTTAAAGTGCTGGGGAAAAGAATATTGAGCCCTTGAATGTGCATATTGATACAGCCCCTCCATTTTATAGAAACGTAGAATACATAATTCTGTACCTGGCTTTTTTCACTCAACACTTTGACTTGGGGATGACATCACATCAGTATATAGAGACTCCCTTCATTCGTTTTCACAGACATCCAAGTAACACATTATGTAGCTAGAACTCAGTTTATTTAGTCAGCCCCCTGTTAATGGACCCTTGGCTTGTTTCCAGGTTTTTGCTATAACAAATTATGCCTTAATAAGTAGGCCTGTGCAGATGCCATTTTGCACTTTTACCAGTGTGCATCTGTGGGAAATGCAATATTCTTGAAAAGGAATGGCTGAGTCAGAAGTTAAATACATATTTAATTCTGATAGATATTGACTGTCAAACACCTCTAAAAATTCTGTACCATTTTTAATTTCTAAAGGCAGTATATGAGCGTGTTTTATTCCCCACATATATAAACTCAAACATCTTTGTTTTGTCCCAGCTACGAGGTGAGCGATGGTTCTCCAGTGCGGTTTTAATTACACTTCTTTTATCATGAGCAAGAGGGGAAGGGGAAGTTTTTATTTACAGCTTATTTTCTGTGAACAACAATCTCTATTCATCTCTAGCTCATTTTTTCTATAGGGTTTTTTTTTGGTGGGCACCCCCCCAAAATTTTTAATGTAATTTATCAAACTTTTCCCTATTGGTTATGCATTTTTAGTCAAAGTTTGGAACATTTTTCCTATTCCCAGGTTATAGAGAAATTCATCCATAATTTCTTACAGTTCTTATTTGTAGTTGGAATTTTTAAAAGGTCCTAAAAAGATTCATATGTACACCAAAGTAACAAGTTACAAATCCAAGGTTAGAAAGTGATGTCAACCATTGCAGTTTATTTACATGAGAAATGTTTAATAATCTGTCATGTTCATGTTTTTCTTAATTCTTCTAAATGAAGTCAATCTGAAGTCTTCTTGCCTGTATGATAAAATGTTCCATTAGTAAAACAGAAAAGATTATTCCTGGAGTAACATATGGTCTTTATGAATAAACATATTCAATTATTGAAAACTTTACCTTTCTAAGAGAAGACAACATAAACCATTATGATGCAGCCCACAATCCAGCCAATCAAGAGAAGAATAGGGACCAGAAGGTGTGATAGTGTAGATTCTGGTTAAAAATAAAGAAAAGAAAACAGAGTAGGTAGGTCATTTTGGCATCATATCTTCTGAAGATAGAGAATTTATTTGAGAGAATAAATGGAATCTGATAATATCAAGAGGAAAAAAAATACACTCTTCAGTCACTCTCAGACATGATTATTATCTTCTGTTTTACAAAGGGTACATGAGACTCAGCTGGGTATTTAAAAGGAAAGACCTGTGTTCAAATGATAGGCTTTCCTTATACAGTTATGCGACCTTGGGCAACTCTGAGCTTGAACTTCCCTATTTGTAGAGATAATGAAACTTGTGATATCTACCTCCCTGAGTTGTTGAGAGGATCAAATGATACTGTGCATGTGCAAGAGCTTTGCAAACTCTAACCTTCCTGTGTGTGTGCCTAGGGTACACAGAACACATCCCTGCATTTGTTCAAGAACACAGCAGCTGTTTACATAGAAACCATCGAAAATGACTTTTGAGGCAATTCCTCCTAAACTAAATAATCATAATATAGGGAAAGTTATTGAAAATTGTTGTTAGCCTTCATAGCTGACTTTAATCCTAAGTATCATAGGAAAAGAAAAGCATTATACCTTATATAATCATTCTCAACTAGAGAAAAGAGATTCTATTTTCTTAACATATTCAGTAGAGCAACCAACACTGATCCAACACACATAAAAGACATTTAGAACAATGATTACTCCTGTGTCTATTTTGAACTCTAATCTGAAGAAAGTTTATAAAATTATCATTTTTTAAATATTCATTGTACATGCACACCACACAAAAAGATTCAAAAAGAGCACAAAAAGACATCATATAGAATTAATGTCCACACATTAAGGACTCAGATATATTCTTAACTGAAAAGCACAATTGGGTTTTGTACCACCAGCTAACAAAGAGAACGCATATTCTTAGCAATTGTGTGCCTGTTACCATTTCTATCATTTTAAAATGTGAAGTTTTTTTTTAAGTACTATTAAAATCATCAGGAAAAAAAACACTTCTAAAATTAGGAGCTCCTCTAATAAAAGCAAACTTTGTGCAGTTAAAGTGAACTTTAATAGTTTAAATCTATCTTTCCAGGAATGTTGGCATGTCTTTTAACTCTCACAAATTCAACGGGTTTTCCTTGCTCCTCCATCTCGCTTTGACCTTGAACAAAGCATTAACCACTCATGGAAAAACCTTTCTCTTTACCTGCCTGTGGTATTGCTTTAAGTATAAAGCGAACATTGTGATATGCCCTTTACTCTCATTTGGATGAAAGCCTTTTTATGAATTAAGGTGCCATTACAGTGGGAGTACATGGCAGTAACTTTTTTGAACTGTTCATATATGCGATTTCACTTTTTTCCCAGTTTCAAAGAACTTAAAAATTAATACGAATATTCTAATTGAGCATTTATAAATATCTTATACAAGCATATTTTTGTACGATTCTAAAATTTACATATAATAAAGCCCTAAAAGTATATATCTCATTATTTACTACTGATTGTAAAACAGTACAGTTGACTGCATTTCAACACTCAGAGTATGCCTGCATTTGTGTTCTTTTAACATGAATATTTTAAGTTTTACCATAATCTGTAGCATTGTTTTGAAATAGGAATATATAGGAACACAATATACTTTGCATAGGTCACTTATATTATGGCACAAACAAGCACAAAACTTCTTTTTAAATATGAAGAGTGATTTCAAAATGCTTCTCTCTGTCCAATTCTGAGCATGCCCAAGAGGTTATACCTGGAAGTATCCTTAAGGGCACTGTGCTCTGAAACAAGACTGTCTGCATTCAGAATCTGCTGTCACCACTTTCTATGATCACAGGCAAGTGGCTATACTCGGCTATGCCTCAGTTTCCTTATCTGTAAAATGGAAATGAAGACAATACTGCCTATCTCATGAGATCATTGTCCAGATTAAGAGCAAACAGTGTAGTGTAAAAAAGCATTTCTTGGGGCGCCTGGGTGGCACAGTCGGTTAAGCGTCTGACTTCAGCCAGGTCACAATCTCGCGGTCCGTGAGTTCGAGCCCCACGTCGGGCTCTGGGCTGATGGCTCAGAGCCTGGAGCCTGTTTCCGATTCTGTGTCTCCCTCTCTCTCTGCCCCTCCCCCGTTCATGCTCTGTCTCTCTCTGTCCCAAAAATAAATAAATGTTGAAAAAAAAAAAACATTTCTTGGATACAATATATATTCAGCCCCTTCTGTCATAGTAGAGTCAATCATTTTTCTTAAATATAACACACATTTTAAAACCAGAAAATAAGAAATTCAGATCTGAAGCATATCAGAAATGACTAAGTCCATTTTATTTATTTTCACTTTAGAGGCAGGCCCAGAGAGCTGGCGGAGCTTCCCCAAACTCACATGGCTGATCTGTGGACAGCCATGAATTGAGGACAGAATCAAATGTCCTCAATTCTGGTCCAGCACACCACAATACCTCGAATCTTGTATAACACTCGAGAATAGCTGACTCCCACCTCTTTCAAAACAAGCATGAACAAATTAAGCTCTTCTGTTTGATCCTTTGAAACTACATGTAACGTACAGACATAATCCATAAATTGTACATTGAATGGCTTTTTTCGTAGCCATGCTAACATATATGATGAATGCCCATTTAGCAGAGATACCACATTCTTAAGAATAACTGAGAAATACTAAATACTGGGGAACATAAAACAAACCAGGGAGCTTGGGCCTGTCTTACCAAGAGGGACTGATGCCTTAAATCTTACCTTTTTCAGCCATTCTTCCTGTTGCTGGGTGGGTTGGTCAGGGCCACACTCACCTCTTCGTTGTTGTCACGCACCGTCTCTTTGAACTTTAAATAGATATCTGAAGAGTGTGGCAGCTGCCTCTCTCCTGACTGCCAATTGTCTGCACAGTGATGTAAGGTGTTGGAGAACAGATCTCCCCTGGCTCTTCTTTATCCTGTTATCATGGAGGAAGCAACGGGCTACATAAGCTAAACAATTAAAGAAGTTGAGCTATCCTAACCCAGAAATGGTCAGATTTTTAATTCACCCAATGCCTTCAGGCAACATGGAGAAAATGTTTAGGAAAGGGGGTGTACAGAGGAAAAACGGCATTGCAATTAGACAAGTTCTATCAAGGAGAGAGGGTAATCTACTGGGGGAAAAACACTTTGGAGTCAGAAAGACCTGGCTTCAAATTCCAACTCTGCTATTTCTGTAATGAAGGCCAAGTTGCTTAACCTGAGTATCAGCCTCTTGAATTTTAAAATGAGAATAGTGATACCTCTCCACAGTGGAGGGGTCATAAAGAGGAGATGAAAAAGCTATGTGGAAATACAGACATTTATTACATTACAGGATGCAAAAGATAAAGTAAATTAAGTGGTGCCCCTCACTGTGAACTATTCTAAAAACAGAACATTTTAATATAAATGTACTAGAAACTAAAACAACGAAAGGCTGGGGTATTGCCTAGAATTTTCAGAGAGCAGTCATAAGCTTGTTTTTATTAGCAATGTATAAAAATAGGACATCCCATTTTTCAAAGTCCAACCTGGTTTATGTAATATGACCTAGACTGTACTCTAGATTCTCACTGGAATAACTTTAATTTTCAGGTCTGGATGGAAAAGTTTTGCAAAATGACCCTGTGACCAACTTCTCAAAAAGTCCACCACGAGATTAAGGGTGTCCTTCTTGAAAAGACAAGAGTTGCCTGACCAAGTCTACCTCCACAGAGCTCCGAGAGGGAGGTGTCCCTGCAAATGACCACATCTCATCACTCACCAGAATCCACCCATGGTTCTCCATCTCCCAGAAAATAAAAATCTGAACTCCTCACTGAGTACCTGAAAAGCCTCATCTTCCTACTTTCCCACTTGCAGTGACGCCTCAGCCACAGTGAATCCTTTGTGATATATGAATTCGGGATGAATTGATTTTTTACCTCAAGTCATATGCCTATAATTAGACTGTGCAGCCAACAATGTGGTAAGTTTATTACATGATTATGCAATATGTTTATGTTATATCATTCAAGCACAGTTGTCATCTCTCTCTTTCTCTATATACAACGTAAATATACTTTTAAAAATGCCTGGGTATACCAGACAGAAGAGAGACTTGTAATATCTATGTAACAAAATCCCCGGTAAAGTCCATTTTTTTAATACTAAATAATTATATATTGATAAAAGGTTAATTGAGGCAAGATAAACAGAGATAGAATGAAAAAGTGATTAATCTCACTTAAATACTGATTTTTTAAACTAAATAGATTCAAATGAATACCCTAAGACCAAAAAAAAAAGATATTAAAAAGAAACAGTGACATACCATCCAAAAAACAAATATACATATATACTAGTATAAAACAATTTGCCTAAAGTGGTTAAAAACAGAATGTATGAAAACATTTCTACATTAAAATTACCTTAAGCTTTCTTTTTTGATATAAAACTGACTATTATTAACATTGCTACCAATTTGAATTTTGAGGAGGAATTACTTTATAACTCATCATTTATTTTTGTTTTCTACAGAAAATGAGGGGGGGGGGGGGAACTAATTCAATGAACATGAATTGCCCAGATCTCAGAAAAGAGTTCAGTCTAGAATCTCATTTCTTTGGTATCCCATCAGTAACTTTTAAAAAATAATTATAATGTTTATTCAGGAAAAATGTTTTATTCACTAATAGACTGAATTCACTCTGAACTCAAATGCAAGGGCCTCTTTTGACAATTTTCTAATCTTCCTCTTAGGGCATACCATTTAGGAATGTTTTACATTTCTACTTTGCATAAAAATTTCTTCATGAGTTCTCAAATCCCTTATTATCAAAGTGACATTAGATTCTTCCAGGGCACTTAAGGTAAAAAAGTCAAATATTTGGCTCTTTATTCAAGATAAATCGTAATTCTTCATTTTTCTAATTTTTTCTAACCATTAGTGTCTGGAATTATAGTAGATAAATCTTTACATGATAGATTAAATGGACAAATTCCTCTTAAGACCTTAGCTTACCCAAACTGATTCAAAAAGAAAGAAAATTTGAATAGACTTATAACAAGTAAAGCAATTGAAGTTATAATAAAAAAAAATGTTTCACAAAGAAAAGCCCTGAGGGACGCCACGGTGGCTCAGTTGGTTAAGCATGGTTAAGCATCATACTTCAGCTCAGGTCAGGATCTCGCAGCTTGTGAGTTCCAGCCCCAAGTCAGGCTCTGTGTTGACAGCTCACAGCCTGGAACCTGCTTCCGATTTTGTCTCCCTGTCTCTCTGCCCCTCTTCCACTCACACTCTGTCTCTCTGTCTCTCTCCCTCTCAAAAATAAACATTTAAAAAATAATTAAAAAAAAAAAAAAAAAGCCCTGGAACAGGTATCTTCGTTGGTGAATTCTTCCAAACATTTAGAGTTAACACCAATACCTCAAAAACTATAGAAGAGGAGAGAAGACTTCCCAACTCATTCTACAAGGCCAGTATTACTCCAATACCCAAACCAAAGATATTATAAGAAAAAAACTACAGACCAATCTCTCTAATGAATATAGGTGAAAAATTCTCAACAATAAACTGACAAACCAAATCCAGCAACATAAAACATCCTGAATTACATCCCAGGACCAAGTGGGATTTAACCCAGGAATGCAAAGTCAGCACAACATTCAAATACCAATTCATGTAATACACCATATTAATAAAATTTTTTTAAAAGCCCAAAAAACAAAACAACAACAAAAAAAAACACATGATCATCTCACTAAATGCAGAAAAGCATTTGACAGACTCCAACCAACCAATTGGTAATAAAAGCGAACTTCCCCAACCTCATAAAGGGAATCTACAAAAACTCACAGCTAGCATCATATTTAATGGCAAAAGACTGGATGCCCCCCCCCCACCACCAATCTCATGAATAAAACAAGAACGTGTACGCTTATACTTTGATTCAATACTGTACTGGAGGTTGTAGCCAGGAGAATTAGGCAAGAAGATGAGATAAAAAGTCATCCAAATTAGAAAAGAAGAATTAAGCTATCTTCATTTGCATATAACATGATCTCATATACCAATAAATCCTTAAGAGCCCCTTCTGCACACAAAAAAACTCTTATTTTTTTAAGTTTTTTAATATTTATGTATTTTTGAGAGAGAGAGAGAGCATGAGCAGGGGAGGGGCAGAGAGAAACACACACACAGAACCAGAAGCAGGCTCCAGGCTCTGAGCTGTCAGCACAGAGCCCTATGTGGGGCTTGAAGTTGTGAACCGTGAGATCATGACCTGAGCTGAAGTCAGATGCTTAACCAACTGAGCCACCCCAGCTCAAAAAACCCACCCCCCAAAAAACTCTATTAAAAGTAATAATCAAATTCAGCAAGATTGTAAAATACAAGATCAACATGCAAAAGTCAATTGTATTTCTACACAATAGCAATGAACAGTTTGAAAATTAAATTAAAAAATAACATTACAATAGCATCAAAAAGAATAAAATACTTAAGAATAAAGAATAAATTTAATCAAAGATGTATAAGCCTTGCAACTAAAGACTAACAAACCCTTGCTGAAGGAAATTAAAGAAAATCTAAATAAATAGGCATTCTGTGCTCACGAATTGAAACAATATTGTTAAAGATGGCAGTACCACTCAAAACAATCTACAGGGTGACTGTATTCCTATCAAAATACCAATGGTCTTTTTTACAGAAATGGAAAATCTAATCTTAGAATTCATATGGAATTGCAAAGGACCCTGAATAATCAAAACAATCTTAAAGAGGAAATACAAGGGACTCACACTTACTGATTTGAAAATGTACTATAAAGCTACAGTAATCAATAATGTGTGGTACAGGCATAAGGAGAGACATACAGGTGAATAGAATAGAATTGAACATCCAGAAATAAATCCACTCACTAGTGGTTAATTGATTTTCAACTGAGGTGCCAAGACAGTATATTAGGGAAAGAATAGTCTTTTCAACAAATGGTGCTGGGACAACTAGTCTTTTACATACAAAAGAATGAAAGTGAACTCCTACCTCATACCATATACAAAAATTAAGCCAAAATGAACCAAAGACCTAAATGTAAGAGCTAAAACTATAAAATTAGAAGAAATCATAGGGGTAAAACAGGCAACAGTTTCTTAGGTAAAGAAACATACATAAAGTACAAGCAATCAAAAAAAAAAAAAAAAGATAAATTGGCCTCATCAAAATTTAAAACTTTCGTATATCAAAGAATACCAGAGAAAGAAAAAAGATAATCTATGGAATTGGAAAAAATATTTGCAAATCATATATCTGACAATGGTTTAATATCCAGAATATATTAAAAAAAAAAGTCTTACAACTCAACAAGAGACAACCCAGTTTAAAAAGGGCAAATCATTCAAATAGATTTTTATCCAAAGGAAATGTATAAGTAGTCAATAGGCATATGAAAATACACTCAAATCATTAGTCATTAGAGAACTGTAAATCAAAACCACAATAAGATACCACTTCACCCCCACCAAAATGGCTAAAATAAAAAGTTGTACAATAACAAGGGTTGACAAAGATGTAGAGAAATTGGACCCCTCATACAATGCTGGCAGGAATGTAAAATGGTTCAGCCACTCTAAAAAACAGTTTTGTAATTCCTCAAAATGTTAGATATAGAACTACCTTATGACCTAGCAATTCCATTCTTAGGTGTATACCCAAAAGAATTGAAAACAAGTATACAAAAACTATATACAGAAGTTCAGGGCAGCATTATTCATAAGGCTCAAAAAGTAGAAACAAACCAAATATCTATAAACTGATGAAGAGATAAGCTAAATGTGGTATTGCCACACAGGGTAATAGTCAAACATTAAAACATGTTTTGGTACATCCTACAGCATGGTTGAACATTGAAAATATCATGGTATGTAAAAATGTCATATTGTATTGTATGATTCT